TTTGCTTTTAAAAGAAAGGAGAAAAAGAAAGAGAAAACAAGAATAGTAACATCTTGAATTTTATAATTTTGATAATATGTTTATGGCAGTTCACTATGCTACTCTCTCTGCTGTTGTATCTGTCTGATTTTTTCACAAAAAAATAGGTTCTAAGATCATAAATTTTTTAGGTGTGGCTTAAGTCATTTATTAATTAATAGTGATTGAACTTTAACTTTGATTTTGATAGAATTTTTTAAAATATTAAGAATTGTATTGAAAGCTGTAGGGGTATATTGATCTTGCTTTAGGAAGTATTTTGTCTTAAGAATATCTTCTATGGAAGATTGGTTAGGAGATAAGTTTAAATGTTAGTCTTATGCAATGAATTAGGAAATATTTTATTTTCTGGAATAGTTTGCTTTCCCATGAGTACATTTAAAACATTATTTAGTTACAATTTACATACAGTAAAAAATGCACCCATTTTGTGTACAATTCCATGAGTTTTGACAAATGTGTGTAACCATGTAACCATCACCACAATCAAGATAGCAACATATCCATTACCTGAAAAGTCCCCCTTTTCCCTTTAGGGTAGTTAATCTCTACCCTCCTTCCCCAGAAAACCAGGAAGCTGCTTTCTATCGCTATAGATTAGACTTGTCTTTTCTATAGTTTAATTTAAGTAGACTTACACAGTGGGTACCCTTTTGTGTCTTGGTTCTTTCCCTCAGTATGTTTTTTATATTCATCCATGTTGTTGTGTGTATTAATAGTTCATTTTTTTCTGAATAATATTCCAATCACATATCACATTTTCAGTTGTTTCTATTATGAATAGAACTGCTGTGAACATCTATGTACAAGTATTTGTATGGATGTGTGCTTTCCTTTCTCTTGGGTTATACTGCTAGTAGTATGGTATTAGTTTAATTAATGATGTTAGTGATAGTGAGCATCTTTTCATTTGCTTATTTGTCATTCATATATCTTCTTCGAAGTGTCTGTTCAAATCCTTTTCCCATTTTTAAAAATAGAGTTTTCTTCTTGTTGAGTTGTATTCTGGGTAAAAGTCTTTATCTCGTATATATGCCTAGAGAAAGAGAGAGAGAATGCTTTCTCCTCATCTGTTGCTTACTGTTCATTTCTTAAATGATGTCTTATGAAAAGCAGAATTTTAAAAGTTTGATGAAACGTAATTTAAAATTTTTCTTCTGTGGTTTGCGCTTTCTGTGTCCTAAGAAATCTTCATGTACTTCAAGATTGTGAAGATATTCTCCTATATTTTCCTCTAGAAGTTTTATACTTTTAGCTTTTATATTTAGATCTATGATCCATTTTGAGTTAATTGTTATTTATGGTATGAGGTACAGGTTGAGGTTCATCTTTTTCTTCTGAATATCCAGTTATTTCAGCACAATTTGCTAAAAAAAGTGAGTTGGTGATCATTGATATAATTGAATTAACATCTAACATGTTTGTAATTGTTTTCCATTTGTTGTGCTTTGTTTCTTTTTTCCTTTCTTTTTCTGCCTTTTTTGGTTTCACTGAGCATTTTATATGATTCCATTTTATCTCCTCTCTCAGCATATCAGTTATATTAAATACTTATTTTAAAACATTTTAGTGGTTGCTCTTGAGTTTGTAATATAAAAATTTTATATATGAAATAT